AGTTTATTTCTCCGTATAGAATAGTTATAAACTCTTATAGCTCTGTATAACATAGTTATGTATAGAGGATAGTTATAAACTCAAACATCCGGACCTATTCTGTTCTTAGGACGCCAGCACAACGGTTTACGATTCTTAAATAATTGAATGATAGATTTCAATAACGCACATCCGAATCGGTTATACTGCGCCAAAATTAAACAACAGTGCGAATTAAGGGTGATGAAAACACGTGTTTGACGACGGGGACAGATCACTGAGGTACCTTTGGATTGTGGGATACGTGTACCATTTCTGTTCACGTAACGCTTTATCCACATTAACATAAAATATACTTCAGAATGGAAATTAAGAATAAAACGAAACTCAAAATTTTTTTGTTGAATATATATTTTTAAGAACAAAAATATGTTGCTATGAAATATTTATTCACAGTTAAAATGCGATTGTTTGTGACATTTTAAAAAGTGTTGTGCTGTTTTAAATGACATTTAAAGTGGGATTTTACAACTACAGCCTTTTAGAATAGAATTTTTTCCAAATAATCAATAATTGCTCCTGATTAGGTGGCATTTTTCCTGCCGTGCCTCTATTGCCAACAGTTGAAAAAACAAGATGAGTTTATGATGGCAAGAAACGAACTTGTGTAACTTGTTTACAAAACGGAAAATGCTTATAGTCAGTTCGAGCAAAAATCTATTCAATGGATTTTGTATTTCGGATAAATCACAACAATCTATAAGGATTTCAAAATTTCATCATTTATGACTTGTATGGCTTTCATTCAATTCGGATTAAATTTTATGGTTTTTACGATATTTCATGATAGAGTCAGTGAAAATTTAAAAAATTTAGAGCATTTTGTTCAGTTTTTGTTGCGGTTATCTTTATCTATCATAATGTCCATAAATGCGTGGCAATATATTGATTCAACTAAAATAATGCCCAAACACAGATTAAAAAATTATGTGTTTTAAAATAAACATAAAAATACTAAATTTATAGAATAAAATTACAACATTTAAACAACAAAAATACAGTCACATCGGCTGTATTTTGACAATTATGCACTAAATGCGATTTTTTTCAATCTAAATTCCAATGAGAATTCTAAAAAAAATAAAAAAAAATAAATCAATAAATAAAAAATTATAAAACTTTAGATTTAACCGTGGGACTCCAGTCAAAAGGCGTAGTGAATCGGGAAGAATCAGTTATTGAAACTAAAATATTTTATTTTATAACCGTCGTTGAACAGCCGACCCAATTTTTTTCGGTTTACGGCTATTGATGTTCAACTCCGTAGCCTTGCAATTTAGAACCAATCCAGAAGACAAGGAAACTCCTGGATCAATACCCCAGAAGTATGATTTAATATTATAGAAACATGGAGGACTTTGCGACTCGACGGATTTAACGTACATCAGTCACTATTTACTACACGGGGAGTCTTCGGCAGGTGGGGATCGAACCCACGATCTCTTTAACTCTTATAATTGTATTTTAATAATTATGAATTACAATTTTCTTAAATTCTATTGAGATGAATAAAACAGCCTAGAGCCGCGATGGCTCAGGGGATAGAGCGTTCGCCTTCGAATGAGGTGAAACGGGGTCCGATCCTGGTCAATACCAATTCCGCATGAGGCTTGCACCGACCACAGTGCTGACGTGAGATATCCTCAGTGATTGATGGATCATGGGTTATAGTCCCCTTGCCATTAGGCTAACCGTGAAAGGTTGTCGTGGTCTTCCTCTCCATGTAACGCAAATGCGGGTTAGCTCCATCAGAAAGTCCTCCACGATCCAGGAGCTTCCTTGTCTTCTGAATTGGATTCAAAATTACAAGGCTACGGAATTGAACATTAGTAGTCGTNTAGTAGTCGTAAACCCAAAAAATTGGGTCGGCTGTTCAACGACGGTTATAAAAATAAAACAGCCTAAATTTATATATTTCTTACTCAATTCCACTTAATTTAAGTTGTAAGTTCCAGTTAATAAATTTATTAAATATAAACAACAAAAGAGCACTAATATTGTACATTGATAATTACTCACTAATTACAAATTTTTTAAATAGAATTCTAACAAATTTTCAAAAAATTTCAAATGATGTATTTTTGTATCATCATTTTAATAAGAAAAATAGTTCTATCTCCGTGTTTTTGAATCCTCAAAAGGCAAGGGACATTTTTAAAACTAGTTGCATTTATTCATTTTTATGATTGTATATTTACAGGAAATGAAAATGTTGACGTAAAAGCATTGTACTTCGATCATTTCACTGTCAAGAGGGGGTACTTATTAAATTCTCACTAGTTTCGGACCAATGACGTTCTTATTAAGACCTTGTTCAGTATTCAATGCCTCATTTAATACGTTGGGAAAAAAACAGTGGGACGAATTTTTTCAGGACAATATGATTATAGGTATAGCATCAGGATCTTTGAACTTAACCATTCTTCTTTTCAGAACATTATTTTTATTATTCTACACGTTAAGGCTGCTTTACACTTGCTGGGAAATTATTCACCAGCATTTCCAGAAGATCTACCTTTAAATTAACGTGACTAAATACACTAAGGTCATTTTATTCTAATTTATTACTATATGTAAATTCCGCGTTCTCTTACTAAAGGAATGTCTTTGTACATATTTGTATACTACGGCTGCTAAAATCAAAGTATTTATAGCGGACGGTCTAGATGTTTGTAAAAGGTTCTAGATATTACTACAGTTAAAATTAGAATTATATCACAATTCTACATTCGAATTTCTATAAAGTATGATTTAAAATTTGTACAACTTAATACATCAAGGTTGTTAAAATTAAAAGTGTATTTTATGCATATTCTACATTATTTCTTTGTAGACTGCGCAAAAAAATAAAAAGGACTACCCTAAATAATTTTTGATATAATAATCGGATCTTTACGTTTTAGGTTCAAGGGGGTGGCCTCAAATATGCTAATTAATTAGTGTCGACGATATTTTGAGTTACGAAATCAGACACAAAAACGTACTTTTTCTGAATAAACATACCTTTTTTTCGACGGTTTCGAATTTCTGACCCACAAAATAAGGAGGTAGCCGCAATCTAAGAAATATGATCCCAATAAGTTTGGTCAGGAGAGCGATTCAAAGTTAGGACCCCTTAATGTTTATTTATTTATTTTTTTATGAGTATTTCACCACATATCTCGAGAACTTTTTAGACCTATTGAAAAAAATTTTGCACACAGTTGCAAAATACAACATTTAGTAAACATATATTACTTTTTATAATTTTATTTATTAATAGTCGCAAAACTTTTGAAATGTAAGGTATACAATCATTTAAGTCACTTTAAATAATGCAATTTTAAACGGTAAAATAGAAAATTTAAGCAAAATCGGTCGAATTTTAAATTTACGACTTTTTCAAATATACTACATAGTTTTAAAGTGTTAAGTGCATAAAGTTATGCCTTTAAAGAAAGCCTATTAAAAATTTCCTTTAAATAGTTTTTTTTTTAATTTAAATTTTAATTTTAGATATAATTTGGATAATGGTTTAACTATTAATGCTTATTAAAATAATGTATTAAAATTTTCACCGAAAGAAATTAGACGTAAATCAACAATAAACAATAATTTGCAATGATATTAGTAAGAACCACAAGACTACAAAAATTACATTCCCTAAAAAAATCCATGAAGTTCCTCAGAAGTGATGAAAATAAAAGCAAAGAGAAGAAAGCAAACAAAACAACAAGAGGGGAAAAAAAATCACTGGGGTGCCTAGGGTCAGAAAGGGGCGTTTACTAGAAGGAAAACCCCCTTGAAGAAGGTTGGAAGAGGAAATGTTCAACTCCAGTTCCGAATAATATTCTATTTACTACCATTATTATTCTATTCTATTTACTATTTGTTACAACTATTCAAATTTTAACCGCATATTATAAAAATATTACGTTTATGTAATTGTTTATTTCAAATAATATATTTCAATTTTTCTTTTTCTTTCTTTTTTTTAATACACGATCAGAAATAAAGGCATTTTATTTAAAATGACACTTTATATAAAAACATAAACCATGAAAAAATAAATTTTAGAAGCTCTTTAACTATAATGATATTGCAAAATTGTGCAATATCATTATAGTTAAAGAGCTAGACGGCAATATCTTACACGGACTTATATCTAAGCATAAGAAAACTCTTCTGTGACATTGAGATACAAATAATATATTATTTATTTTATTGATCATTATTTGTATTTATATCATGATGACAAATGGTACAAGAAATTGATACATGAAATTAATATACATTATCTCTTTAATTAACTTTTCAAAATATTAATAAGGTAATCATAATAAATATAGAATAAAACATTCATTGTTAAGATGGATTTATTTTTATTTATAAATCGCAGTTTTTGAAAGAAGGAATCGCACGTCGATATACAGTGTGTAAACAAATCTTATTTAATATTTATTAATATATGTATAACGGCAACATATTTGCTACACGAATAATATATTATTTTTAAACAATTACTGTAATAATTCTTTAAAAAATATACTCGGTGTAGCAAATATGTTGTTTCAATACATACATTAATAAATGCATTATTACAACATATTTGCAACATAAAGTATACTTTTTTTAAAGAATTATTACAGTGGCACTTTGCACGGGAAAAGGATTTTAAAAGCATGTATTCCTCAACAAGTATTTATATTTAATGCAGAATTTCAATAGCAATAATTTTATCATTATATTTTTCTCCTTTTTTTGCTTAAATGCAATATTTAAAATATGAAGAAAAAAAGTAGTTTTACAAATATATTAATTTTTTAACATTACTTGCTAAAATAAGATATTTTCAACTTAATATTAAATTAACCTTGTCATAAATACACTTCTATGCATGTGAAATGTCATATGTAACTGAATAATTTCAATTCATTTAATTGATAGATTTAGATTCAAATATTAAATCTGGGATTACTTACCCAATATCCGTTTTCCTTCAGATCTGCTGACAAACAAATTAAACCACGCAACCACACCATCAACGTACAACAAACACGCACACAATAAAACTTGTATAAATCTTATGTGCATATTGTTAACAATTTTTAACGTGCGCTTTTGCTTAATACAACATATTTATGCAATGTTTTCATCGCTTTGTAGTAAACATAAAACATGTTAACCAATATCCATAAGATCTCGTACTCTATTTTTAATGTGAATATTCATATTTTGTTGAATGTAGAAATATTATTTATACAATGCACAGTCACATTTTTAGTTATCGATATCAAGCAATATTTACATTTAAAATGTCAGTTCCTGTATATTTATTTGAAATGCGCGGACTAGCGCGCCCGTAAATTGGAAAAAACTGTTCTCGGGCGAACGTTAACCTAGGTTATAACACGACCTTCCCAGCTGATGGCTGGGTCTTTAATGAAACCTAGGTTGCTTGGATACGGAGAAAGCTGCAGACTGAGTCCTGGCGGTTGAGAGAGTCGCCAAAGGTGAGGGGTCTTTTTAGCTTCGCCAAAACAATATAGACCTGCTCGGGCGAGATGTAGGTAAAAAGATTCTTTATTTCTCATCGATAGGTGGACTGGAGTTATTTGAGCTGCTGTTTCATTTGCATTTAGTTAAGTTATTATCAAGCTTTGATGTCGTATTATTCGAAAATATTTCTGTATTGATAATTGCCATTTTGCAATATTCAAAATAATAATAATGTTGTAAATGTATTTCCCCCAGATATTAATTCATCTAAATGCTCATTTGTAATTCTGCGTCTATGTGACTGTTTTAATATTTACAGTTGATAATAATAAAAAAAATAATCCTTTACAAACTTTTTCTTTAAATTAATTAAATTTGAAATATTATATGAAGAATACAGCATATCTTTTTAAATTTTTGTAATTATTGATTCTGGTATGTATTAATTAAAAAAAATTAGTATTAGCAGTATTAATAAAAAAATTTTTTATAAATATAAAAATGTCAAAAATTATTGTAATTAATCTAAGGTAATAAATACGTAAATGCAAAAGAAAATAAATGTTATCTTAAAAGTAATGTATTGTTTACCGAATGGGCTAAATACAAAAGCCCACTAAAGAAAAACAGAGATAATACTGTTTAATATATTTTTTATAACAAATTTTCAAAACATATTAATTCCTATATTTCTGTAAGTACTCATTGTACATGTTAAATATAAATAATTATAACCATGGAACAAAACATTTGTTAAAGCTGTTTATTGAAAAAAGAAATGAATGAAACTGCAGTATATACTACGATTAAAGCTATAATGAATTTTTACCTATATTTGACCCCATCAAATTTCAATTATAGTTAATGTAAAATAATAATCTTAATCACCCTTCCATAAATCATTCATTTTAGATTAATATATTAACCAAATTAAGCGCTAGGGAATGACCAACGAACACTGTTTGCGACTACGAATGTTCAACTCCGTAGACTTGTAATTTTGAACCCAATCCAGAAGACAAGGGAACTCCTGGAGCGAGTATTGGGAGAAATTTGCCTTCGCGGAGGACTTTTTGATGGAGCTAACCCGTAGTTGAGTTGCACGGAGAGGAAGACCACGAGAACCTCCCACGGTTTTTCTGACGGCAAGGGAACTCTAACCCATGATCCGTCTACCACTGAGGATATTTCACGTTAGCACTGTGGTCGGTGCTAGCCGGATGCGGAATTCGTATCGACTGGGATTTGATCCAGGTTCGCCTCATTGGAAGGCGAATGCTCTATCCCCTAGCCATCGCGGCTCTCGGTTGAAGTTTTGTAATATTTGAAAGAAATACGAAAGATAACTTAAAAAGCTGATGACATGAAATTATACTTTAAAGCTTCCCTCCAACCAAAGCAGGCAATGATTCTCAACTAAACTTACTTGCATAGTTAGCTTTTACTGTACTTTTGAAATACAGTCTATGGTTCGGCTATGCTAAAAACCAAAACCACTAAAAAATTTTTTTGTTCACAAATAAAATCGAAAAGGGGACTTCATGGCTCGTAGGTGTGGAGAAAGCAGTGAAATATGAGTTTGACTTCTTTAGCCTGTCCCCTATTTGGCATCATGCCCCCTTCACATTTACAAAGTGACCACTGACCAGGAGATCGAAGGACCCCCATTCGCCATTCCTCAAAGTCTACGGTCTGGTTCCAATGCATTGTTATCTTTTGACGTTTGCAACACCTGGAAAAAGGGGGGTTATATCACAAAAGTTCCATTCTACATTCGAAAAAAAAATATTTATTGGGGAGGGCAGACGAATCAGTGGAGTTCTTTTTCAATGCGTTTATCTCTTTTAAGAAATGCTTTAGATGACATACTATTTGTCAAATGTCAAACTTTGGAATCCTTATGTCAATTATCTATACTTAATGTTTTCTTATTTCCCAATAAATATGCGAATACATGCATTTTTGAAAAGACATAAATACAGCAAAGTATGTTAAATTAAAAAGAGTACTGGAATATAAAGACATGAAATGTTAAATGCAGGCATTTTTATAAAGCCAGAAATATAAACAGTAAGCAAGATTAATAGTTAAGTAAGATAACTCTATAGAAGTTTTTCCATATCCTATACTTGTTTCTTAATCAATTTACTTACTTACTTTACTTTACCACTAACCTGTAAAGCAGTGTTTCCCAAACTTATAACTTTTATGTACCCTTTCTACATTTTTCGTAACGCTGTGTACCACTAATAAAAAAAAATTTATGTATTTTAAAAATATGTTTATTTTTATTAACATCTATTAGTTATTGACTGTTAACTCTGCAAAAAATAGTCAATAGAAAAATACGTAATCGTAAATTTCCATGGCTAGCTTTGTTTTTAAATAAAATTTTTTGAAATTTTCGTTTGTTGAAGATAATTCGCATAAGAGCGCGTACCCCTGCTAAACTGTTCCCGCACCCCTGGGGGTGCGCGTACCACACTTTGGGAAACACTACTGTAAAGGAAAAAACGAAGAGAAAAACTAAACCGACTGACACACTAAGATGCTTATAGGAGTATTAACATACACCATCAATGAAAATAGAAAAAAAAATCTTAATCTAAATAAGAATCATTTAATAATTGGTGTTAGCCTTACGAAGCAAAAGCACCGAAGTAACAGATCCATTTGTTTTTTATACTTTATGAAATTTAAATATTTTATATTTAATAACTGAACATTTGTTTAAAAGTAGTAAAAATAAATTATGAACGTTTGAACAAGAGTCCGAAATCTATATTTTCAGTATACGAGCCCGAAACTTTTTTCAGTATCGGCCCGCAGTATCGGTCGAAACTTTTTTCAGTATCAGCCCGCATCGGTCTTAAGCTTTCGGGCTCTGGCTGATCTCGGCCTCTCATTTTTAGAATGAAGGCATTTTTATAAAGCTGAAAAAGATTTGCAGGGTTGAAAAAATCTGTAATAAATAAGCTACTATAATGGACACTCAAATAGTATTGTACAATGAAGTTTAAGATAATGTATTTCAACTTAGCGCCTTATTAAAGTTACAGCAAAGTTGAATGATATTATGGTATAACAAATTTCAAAATTTATATTAGTGTAACATTTTGTTAATGTATACTCAAATGTATAATAAGCCTATGTAATTGTACATAATCTTTCATATATCTTTCATACATTGCAATGCATGCTGTGTGTTTATATAAATATAAAACTAATATAATTTTTAATATAAATAATAAAAAATATACTTATTATTATTAATAATGAGAAACTATTACTCAATATTCGATAACGATTGACCATAGAGAAATGTATAACATAGCATCTAGCTATATTTTTTTCTTCTTCTTTTTATGATTTTAAGGTGGATATTGCACTTTGTACTTAATGCGTAAAGGGCAAGCTTTATGCAAGCATGATATATAACGGGCATTTAGGTTTACAATTAATTAGTACAAAATGGAAATCTCAAATATTATATTGCAGTTATCCATATTCTTTTTTGAACTCTTGAGATAAGAATTACAATTTGTGCCTTACTTCAAATTGGGAAGAACAACATCCTTTAAAATAGGCATATAGGTTTACAATTAATTAATACAAAATAGAAAGGTCAAATATTATATTACAGCCATTTCCATTCGATTTCATGCTTTTAAGATAATGGCCAATAGCTATTAACAGTTTGTGCTTTATCTGACTAGGACAAGAATTGCAATGAGCTGTAAAACAGGCATTTAGGGTTATCATTTCATTCTAAATCTGCAGAAACCAATCAGATTACCTGTCAATGACATTAAACGCTCTCGATACATTTTAACTTTGAAACAGGCATTTAGGGTTATCATTCCAATTTAAATCTGATTTAACTTATCATCCATTGAAACCAATCAAATTACCTGCCAATGACATTAAATAACTCCCGAAATCCTTATCATCAACCGTTTTCTTAACCTCACAACCCCTTCTTTGCCTGAGACCAGCCTGTCCCTCCTTCCTTTGGATATAAATCTAAGATCAGACTTAAATCCTCGAAAACCATAATAGTCGATTTTCCCCAAAGAGTTCCGGAAAATCGCCAAGAAGGAAGAGAAACTTTGACAACCGTAATGGTGTGGGGACGCATCAGTAATTGAATTTCTATTAACACGGGCTCCATTCATAAATTTATCCGTTTCATTAAGTCTAAGACGCTGAGATGTCTCCTGTATCAGAGTGTTGCTTATCAAACTATCTTCTATGACATTCGTCCAAATGATCGGGGAAGGGGTGGCAAGTACCTAATTATCGGAATATGTTAGGCCGGCCCCCCTCTATACCGATTGCGGAATAATAGCGAGAGTATTTCCCAAAAGGAAGCGCTGGAATTCAGGATTCGATTTTCTGTGATTATCTTTCGGGCCGAAACAAACGGGCGCAAATAATTCCTTTTAAACTGCGCAGTGATGCGAAATTTTCCATTATAATTAATGTTTATTGCTGTTTTTAATTAATCACTAAATTATTGAAGTTCCCATTCTATTAATCGATCTTATGCGTTGTATAGAGTCTTCACGCATTTATCCGATAAATCGCAATTGTTTTGGAAGTACATTTTATCGAGACTAGAAGATAATTTCGATAAAGTAACGTTTAGAATATTAATAAATTCAACCAGAAAATTTCGTTTATTTTTGAAATTTAAACTGAAATAAAATAACTAGTAAAGTTATAATAAATTTATGAATGTGAAACTGAATAAACTGAAAATAGCCTTTTTGCAATCGTTTGAAACAATAAATATGAACTTTACTCGCTACAAAAATGGATAGTGTAGTAATTTTTTATAATTTCATGTTAAACGTTTTCTGCTTAATATATTGAATTATTTAAAGTAAAATTTAACAAAAGGGTTTGAAATTTTGGACCGTGTTGTTACATAATGTTTAAATGTTCTACCACCTTTATAAAGAGATAAATTGTAT